TGGCGCCGGTCTGGGGGAGCTGCGGTTGCCCAAGCGGGGGCCGCGCCCGTTCTACCCGGTGGAGGCAGCGCCCGCCTGCCCGTCGGGTCCAGCCGGGGCCGCGGCCTCGGCCTCCGCCGGCAACCCCCGCCCCGGCCGGGGGGGCCTCGATTCACCCCGGAGATGGCCGCCGGCCGGGGGGCCCTGGCAGCAGCCTCTTGTCTCCCCCCCAGCTGGCGGCGGCAGCTGTCGGGCCACCCCTGCAACAGCCGCTCACCCGGCCGGCCCTCATCTCCTCATCTCGTTCGGCCCGAGGGCGCTCCCCGGCCCGGCCCGGCCCACCCGCGGGACGCTGCTCCCAAATGGCGGCCTGGGCCCGGGCCTGGGCCAGGCAGCCCCCGCTGGAGATAGGGCTCGCCACCCTGGGTGACGTGCCCTGCTCCGGCCCTGGACGCTCGGAGTCTTCTCCCACCCCCAAAAAATTCAGCTCGCCATCCCTGCTCATCTTCCCTCACGCCTTGTATTTGTCAATAACCTGTTGGGGTAACATCCCCCAGTCGTGAGAGGTGTTTCTGCCGCAGGCCCGCTAAAAGTCTCCTCGCTATCTCTCCGATGTGTTACAACCAGCTGAAACCGTACCGAAAACCCCACGAATTACACACAGTGTCGTCCCGCTTTCGCCCAGTTGGCTGAAAACCGGGACTCTCCTGTCAGCGTGTTGCAAGGCTGGTCTTCGGGGCGCGGACCAAGGCAACCGTCCATTATTTTACAACATTAAAGGGGGCTGTGCAGTGAAGTAAATGAGATCAAATACTCCAAAACGTGGGTGTGTGAAGGAACCGGCACTGCCCGGGGTCCCTCTGCACCTGAGGCCAATGTCATAGGCAGGCCACTTCTACATGGAAATCCGAAATGCACGACTACGAAACAGCCTCCCTTGGGGTCCCCACCCCGGTTATCGGAGAGATCCCCCGTGTTCAATAATCTCTTCTTTCTGTGGGTAGTTTCACATTTGCATCCCTCCAAATGGCAACGCTGCTGTAAGGCTTGGAGTAGAGGATAGGACACATGCTGGGAGAAAATGGCATTTCCTGAGTAAATGTCCCTTCTTTTTTTTTTTTCCTTTCCTTCTGGAAACTGTAATATGGAAATTGTTCTGATAGCAGAAGGGGTGTTACAAGACTTGCTGCTTTTGCAGGGCTTAGTTTACCATTACACCTGCAACGACTCCTTGCCTTCCTTCAGCAGGTCAAAAGCTGTGCCAAAGTCCTACCCTTGGCCTCCTGCCTCTCCTTGGACTTCTCTTGGTGGTCTTTGGGTCTCCCCACTATTCCCACACCAAGTTCTCCAGTTCCCCTCTAGCTAGGATTTGTGCCCATGCTGTGCACAGGTTCCTCCTAACCCTACGGAAAGACAAGGCAGAAGCAGCATGGTGCTGGGAGGCACTGATGGGTGGTATCTGCGAGTTCTTTGATCTACAGCCAGCTGCAGAGGTGTTAGAAAACTGCGGTTGGACTCGACACGTGCCAGGCATCTAATGTGTGTTCCCCATTTATTTTTCCTTTTGGTTTTCAGGATCCTCTCTCCCAAATGAATGTCTGAAATATTGCCTGCTTTTTATAGGCAAAAAAAGATATGATGTAACTAACTTATTTCATTACTTGAAAGAACGTAAATACGAAGATGCCATCCAACACAGAAAAAGCCCTTGGGAGGCAAGCCAAAGAATCAGTGTTGCAGAAGTGCACAGAACTGAATGGGTCATGATCCATTATCATATTTAGCATTCGGAGAACAAAAACACCCATCCCCAAGCCTTTGCAAGCTAAGTAGAAAATAGAGGATAGCAGATGGGAGACATGGGAAAGAAAGTAAACTAGTCACCACGTAACTTGTTTTTTCATGACACTCAAAGTGTTTTATCCTTCTTGCCATTTTTCAAGATGCCACTGGCTTTGTACAGGACTGAATTGTTAATATTTGTCTAGGGAATGCTGTAAATTTTGACAGATGGATAGCGGGCAGTTGGGGCTTCTGGTATCCAGGAAGGTGTAGGAGGTGGCTTTGGTTTTTGGCAGTTAGGATGTTGAAACTTACGGTATTTGAGAAGGAATTCTCTTCCGCATCCCGGCTGAAGGACTGTTCCTTCCATTTGCAACTTGTAGCAAACGGGCATCTCAGCAATCCTGTGTAAGGTACAGGAATCCCAATGCATTTTTCTCCCCGAGTAGGGTTTGGTGGTTGGTCTGCGGGTTTTTTTTCCAAAACCCAGGAAAATCTTTATGTATTTGTGTATAAATGCATATACAAAAATTTACTTCAGTAGCTCGCGTTATGTCCCCTGAATCATTCCTCGCAGCAGCACGTGGACACGACCTAGCTGCCCCCTTTTCAGGGCATCCCCCCGTATCGACGTGCCACACGCCATCCAAGGAGCTAAAACGGGTGGTTTGCAACCGGGTGGTTTAAATTCGTGTTTAGGACCTCGACTACGAGAACGACGACATACCCTACGTCTCCGCCAGCGCCAACCGGACCCGCCGGGAGCTCGGCAGTGTCCGAAGCCAGACGAGCGTCGAGGGACGGGTCTGCCGGCACGGCCAACACTCGGACACCCCTGAAGGCGTTCGTGTCGCGGCTCCCCTGGGGAAGCTGAACCCACCGGGCAGCTCCCGCCTGACGCCACGTCGGCCGCCGTTACCTGGCGAGGCTTCGCCCCCCGGGGACGGAGGCGGCACAGCCGGCTGCCCCGGGCCACCGGGCCACCTTAAGAGCGCGAGGAGCCCCCGCAGGCAGCGGCCGGGCGGCTCCTCCCCGCCCCGTGTCGCATCCAGCCTGGGAACGTGTGGCGGGGAGCGGAGCCGTGGCGGGGACGCGCCGCCGGGG